ATAATAATAAGGCCTCTTTTGTGTTCCTTTGTGGTGTGAAGAGGTCTAAACATGTTTACTCCCTCACCGCCAAACACCGTCTTGTTATCGGTGGTACTGTTGTGATCGAATTTGTTGGTCGTTAAATGTGCGCCGCAGCCAAGGTTCTGTGTCTGTTGCAGGGATGCAAATATGAGTGGCAGCCTTGCTGAAAGGTCTAGGTTCTGGTGGTCTTCTCTCAGTCTCAGGTTGTCACGCTTGTGGACATGAAGAACAAGGTAAATGAATTGGTCGGGTCCAGGTGGAAACGAACGATTTACTCCAAAAAAGAAGTTGCAAAAGGTGAAAGTAGCACGTAGACTTGGGTTAGTGGTGCACCAGCAGGTGGACTTGGATTGAGGAAAATACCCGATGCTGAGGAGGCATATCATCGAACAGCTCACCGTTCACCGCGTAGGAGTAGTCCAGCTGCTTGTGTTCATTGTGCGGAGAACTGGAGACCCAGCCGGAGACGATGAAAGCAGAGACTCAGCCATGGTCATGTAGATAGAGAGGAGCTGGACTGGACTGGACTGGGCCAGTTCTAAGGGCGGCAGCACTTGCAACTCCATCGACGTCGACTTCCAGAGCCCTTTGGAGGAAGGGACGGTATTGGAAGCTTGGTCGACAAACGAACAGTTGTGGAAAGCCCTTTGTGCTACAGGACAGTAGCATTTCCCTGCGTCACGCCGGGATGTGGAGGCTAGAACTTCACGGAAGTGGCGTGGGGAAGAAGAAGAAGTAGGCAGGGAGAGGAAAGTGCCTATACACGCAACACTCGCTTATTTTAGCGAAACGCAACACTCGCTTTTTTTTAGCGAAACGCAACACTCGCTTAGGTGACCGTTACAAGCCCACATGGGTTGGGCTGCTTCAGCCAGGGTTCACGCATGGGCCAGGCCCAGGTCGTAGCATACCCCTCCTCTTAAAGAACAGCTCGCCCTCACCGTTGTTTCTCAAAAAAATAAAAATAAAAACCTTGCCCTCACTGTTCATCACCGCGCCATTGTTGCTGCAGCCGTAGCACTGGACCATTCCCACGTAGTCATGTATAGTGGCAATCCGCTCCAAGCTATCTTCCACTGTGTGCGAGTATTACCTCCCACTCGCATCAGTAGGGACATCAACACTTGAGCCGGCTTGGATATCTATCTTGTCGCCAAGGAGGAACAAAGAATCCGAAATGTCTGAGCCAGGGACCGGTGGGTCTGCAAGTTAGTAAGGAAACATGTAAGGATGTACCATAGGATGAATCTTGCTTGAAGTTGGTAATGCCAAGCGATAAGCCACCTCACCCACACGAGCAGTGATCTGGTAGAATCCAAAATATTTGAATCCCAACTCGTGATTGGAACGACGAACCACTGACTTTTGAACAAATGGTTGGGCTTCAGAAATACCCTGATCACCCACCTGAAATTGCATGTTTGGGCGCGTATTATCCTCATGGAATTTCATATGTTGCTAAGCGCGCAACAGGTGTTCCCGAATCAGCCCTTGAATCAAATTGCGTTCAGCTAACCATCCAGACAAGTCAGTGGACAAGGAACTCTGTAAGTTAGAAAGGCCCAAGTGCCGAGGCTGATATCCATAGAGAACCTAGAAGGATGTTGTTCCCAAAGTTGAATCATAGTGTGTGTTGTACCAGTACTTTTCTTTGGAGTGGAATGAACAAAACACCCAAGGAATGTCTCGAGGCATTAACTCAATCTTTCAGTCTGTCCAAGCTTGCATAACTCTTGCCACAAAGTGCTGGTGAAAATGGGATCTCTATCAATTAGGACTTGCGGAAGTCCATGCAACCTATACATGTTATCCACATACAACTGAGCTACTTGGAGAGCCGTAAAAGGATGGGACGGTGGTATAAGGTGACAATATTTACTGAACTTATCAATGGCAACTAAGATTGTGCCAAAGTTTTTACTCTACTTGTCAACATTTGGAGTCTAGTTTGGAGTCTAGCTGTCAAGTCCCCCCCCCCCTCCCTCGTGACTGCGTTGCCCCCGCAGGCGACCAGTCG